AGACCTTCAATTTCCAACTTAAAGTTATAATTTCAACAGGTTTTTCAACATTCAACAGATATATTAGCAAATTTTTCGAATTCACATACAATTTGTCATCAAACATATAATCAATTAGCACATAATAATGTAATTAGATGACTAATTAATCAGATGCAAATCCGAGTCATTACAGGAGTAAAGTTGGTTTTTAGCGTCATTGGGTTTCTATCTCTCCTCCAATCATCTTCTAAGCTTGAAGTAGGGATTCTTCACACTCTTGTGTGAGTTTTACTTTAACTATTGGTTATTCCAAAAGATTATGGTGTTTTGGGGTTTTTGTCAAAAACCTAGGGTTTGAAATCAAAATGTAAGAGAGGGGTTTTCAAATGATTATAAGAAAAAAGTTGTGATTTTGAATTTGGGGTTGATATATGTTGAAATGAGATATTTTTTTGCATTGAAATGAATTTTCAAAGAGAAATGGGGTTTTGCCTTAAAATGTGAATGTTCAAGATTGTAAAGACAAAATGGCATTCATATGGAAATTGTGAAATTGAAATGATAGTAATGATGATGGTGGAGTTAGATATATTATCACTCCCGTTTTGAAATTTTCGAAAAGTGTATATTTAATGAAATTTATCTATCTATTTAGAGATATCTGTTTTGGGCTATCGATGGAGGATAACTATGAGTGTTGTAAAAATTGCATGAAAATTAGGTGAACTAAAACTAATTTCTCATCCATGTGCATTTAACGTTGTTACTTATTTACTACATTGAAAATGTATATGATATTGAGAAAAAGAGGTGAATGTTGAAAAGAAGTGTGCATCACCAAATCAAGTTGGCATGTGTGTTTAGGGTGAAAGTGCCGAAAGACGCGCGTATACATGGGTACCGGCTCTACTGGACGAAATATCCATAAAATGGTAATAGTAGCGCTTGTATAGACTACGTTTAGATGGGTGCCGTTTGACGGTTTCTCACGGACGAAATATCCGTGAAAGGTTGTACTGGTTTAAAATTTCCCTCTTGTTTTTTTATTTTAAAGGACATAATTCGAGAATTGTGATATAAACTTGGCATGGTATGGTTTTGAAAAGAAATGTAAAATGTTTGGAACTAGCATTGCATATGCATAAAACCTTATGGCTTTGTTAAGATTTATACATTGTGTTATACTATTTCTATTGGGTTTTGGCTCACCTTATGTGTGAAAATCATTTTCAAATACTGGTGATATGCCTCTACCAAGGATTTAGCTTGGGAGGACTGTGGAGCTGAAGGTTCAGTGTTGTATTTTGTATTTAATTTAGTACAAACCTAGGGCTTTATATGTATTAAGCTTAAGACTTATTTTTGATATACCCAAGCATTGGCTTTGAAAGATGTAAACCTTTAAGGCATAGGATTATCTATTTAGCTTTAATTTCTTTTCACCATCTTGTAACACATGCTGTAGATTCAGGATGTACTGTTTATGAATATATATCGCATGTGTCACTTTTTATATATCAAACTCTAATTAAGGAAAACTCATCAATTCGTTTATGTTGCTACTCATGGGTTGTTATGAGATGGGTATATTGTATTTATTTCGGGACGTCACATTTTGTTTGGATGAAAAACATTTTTAAAAAAATACCTTATGCATTTTTAGCATTTGATATTACAAAAAATAAAGGTTGTCAAATCATCTCTAATCCTAAAACCAAAAACCTCCTTGGAGCTTAGTCATCACAAACGAGCTAGGCTATGAGTTTGGCATTCCGACGGTACAAACTCATTTAAAGGCAGGTTCTCACTATTTGTATATGAAAATTTAATAATTAGACTTAAAAATATTTTTTCAATTTCGAACAGTGGGAAAAATTTTATAAGCTAAAATTTTATCAATGGCATCACCACCTCTACCATGCCACAATCATCATTACTGTTATCGTCATCGTCACTGCCACTGCTATCACTTCGGCACTTGCACTACCTTACTACCGTTATCACTACCATTGCTAACATCATCATTAACGATTAACACTTTAATTTCAAGGTCACAATCAAGCACAAAACAATTAAGGGAGGGAACACTTTTTGATTTTTTTTTTTTTAAAACAAACGGAGCGTGTTTGCCCAACGTATCAATTTGTTTTTTTTTTGTTTTTACAACGTGATTTACAATCTCAATACAATAAACACCTTATTACACTAACTATTGCATAGATTTCAATAATTACAAGATCACCCCTCAAGTTTTTAAATTTATAGTTTTTATTTATTTGATAACATACAAAGGCTTCGTTTGGAAAGCCCAGCTTGGAGCTTTTTTGGATATTTTAGCCACAAAAAATAAAATAAATTTTTTAACTCAATAAGACAAAATATCACATTCAATATATAATTATTACATTATTTCTCTTACAAAAAAATCAAAAAAGTCAAAAAGGCCAAAAGTCCTTCCCAAATCAAACTTTTTAGCTCCAGACTAAAATAGTCAAATAAGCTAAAAAGCCAATCCACTTCCCAAATGAATCCAAAAACCTTGAAACATTTTTAATTTGTGAAATTAATTGAAAATCTATTGAGTTTTTGAAACATATAATTTTTAAGATAAATTATAAATACATCTCTTGAAGTTTGGCAAAAATTACAAATACTCTTTGTCAACTAATCTAACAAAAAAATAAAATAAAATAACCCAAATATCCTTTAATAAAAAAATAAAATTAGCATACTACTTTTATTTTCATCCTCCTACCGCTATCATTCTCTTTACACGATTACAATATTCTACATCCTTCCTCGACAATACATCAAATGCTAATAAACCAATAATAATGGTGGTGCTGATTCAGAATGCGAGAAGGTGGTGCGATGGTTGGGTAATGTGGTGTTAATAGTTGAGAGAAAATGAGAAATAAGATAGGTGAAATAAAAAAAATTGTTTAATTTCAAAAGATTAATAAAATTATTTTTAGAAGGAAAAAAAAAATGTTACTTACGTCATACACTTTGTTAGTTTGACTTAGCAATTGATTAACATAGGGTTTTTTTTTTTTTGAATAAGTAAGTAATTTTATAACAAAAAAAAGAAGGATCTATAATGAAGTTCAACACATATCTTTGTAGGGAGTACAAAAATAAATAGAACGAAACTAGTGCCACCAAAGGACATAAAATTAAGCATACAAAAGGCATAAAACAACTATCACAACAATAGGATTCAAAATTTCCCTCGCACTTTTTCAGATTATGAAGTTTTTCTTTGAGTTTCTTCTATTTTCCTCAAAAATCTCTTCATTGCTGGGGTCTCTTAAGATGGATTCCCTCTATGATTTAGAATATTCACTTGGCATAACAACTTTTGACTTGATTCGCTATTCCCAAACTCTCTCATTTTACAAGATTTAAGAACTTCAAATGCATTAGATGTAAAGGGGTCAGAAGATTGTGTCCCTCTCTCTTCGTTTATCTTTGTTGTTGAAGCTTGCACACTATCTCTCATTTTTCTTCTTCACCATTTTCCAATTAGTTGGAATTTGTGTTTTCCTTGACTCTACACTCTTGTTTGAAAGAGAGAGGATTCAATATCTATAGCTTTTGCCTACACATAGTAGTGGTATGACTAAATGTCTTACCAACATCACACTTTTGAAAATTTAATGGAATCTCAACTCTAATATCATGCGGTTCACCATAACCAAGATTGATTTTGAAAGACTGGAGAATTTTTTTATTTGCTAGCACTTCAATACGTATTCTTGCAAATGTAAGTCTGTTTCTGTTAAAAGTAGTCTTATCCAAATAAAGAGAAGTTTTCATAATGCTAGCAATGTAACCCAAACCCTCTTCAATATAAAGCTCCAAAGGAATATTATTCAACTTCACCCACAATGGTACACTCGAAAATTCACATTTTGAAGGGAGTTATTTGTTATGATTGGAAAACTCAAGAAATGATATGTAATTTCTCAAACATGATGTAAGAAATTTATATTTTTAATAAATTTTAGAAATGTATTTATAATTAATCTTTTTATTTTTATTAACTGATATATAACATAATAAGGGTTTTCTGGGTATGGTATATCTTATATATATATATTATGAAAAAACGTATGAAACAGTAGAGATGTGATGTGATAGAAATAAATCAATAAGCCAATAAGCAACTTGTTAGATGAAATTTTAGGCCTAGTTTGGGAAGACTAAATAAGTGCACTTTTTGACTTTTTATGAAATATGGGTTGGGTTTGGGTTGGGTTTGAAGTGATGTGTTAGAGAGGTGATGTGACTTAAATAAGATGATATGACTTAAATAAGATAATGACTTTTTGACTTTTTGTCTTTTTTCAATCATGCCAAACTTGGCCTAATCAAAATCCAAAACATAACTAAGTTACTTTAAAATTTAAGGTTTCGTTTGGGAAGATGGTTGAGGCTAATTTAGCTCACTAAAGACAAAATAAGATCTCGTTTGGAAAGCGACTTTTTTAGCTAAAAAATCAAAAAGTCGCTAAGAAATCAAAAAACTAGCGACTTATACCAAAAAGTCAAAGATTTCATTTTCTCTCTACTTTTTGTGCATCTTTTCGTAAAAAATTAAAAAATCATCCCAAATATATTAACTTTTTTTATATCCTATTTTAACCAAAAAGTTACTAAAAAAACCTGTTTTCAAACGAGGCCTCAGTTAAAAAGTCCATAAAGATAAAATGTTACATCTAAACTATAATTATTTTATATTTTTTTTTTACAAAATTATAAAAAAGTTAAAAATTTATCTAAAATGAATTTTTTTTAATCATGTTAAAATAATTTAAAAAACGAAACGAAACCTAAAATATGACTAATTTTAATAATTTTTTATTGTCACAAAGTAAAATAATAATAATAATTTTATTAATTTATAAAACACAACCGAAAACAAAAAAAATAAATTATTGTTTGGGTCAAAAAGGTTGACAAGCAAAGCTAAAGGAGTCGCAAATGAACGAACGCCGCCTATTAGTATTGACAAAACCAAAGTATAATAAGAAGAGAGAGAGAGAGAGAGAGAGAGAGGGCATTCTTCGCTTCAGCCTTGTCGTCACAAACTTCCCAACACAAGAATGGCAGCGCGATTCTTGTTTCGCGCTACCAAGAAGCTAGCTTTGGCTGCTCCAATTGTGGGCGGCGGCGTGGCTGCGGCGGCGATTTCCACCTCCGACGACCCCGCCACCGCCCTCAAGCTCTGCGCCACCGTCCCCCTCCGCGTCACCCGCCTCTCCCTCACCGCCGCCACCATTGCTTTCGGTTCGTAAATCTCAAAAAACTCTCCTAAAATCATTTGCTTTCACATGTTCGTATTAGGATTAGGGTTTCAACACACTTCCTAGTAGTTGTTGGCGTTATTCTTTCAAATTTTAAAATACAGGGATTAATTCTCTTAATTCAGCTTAAACCTAACGCTATGCTAGAAAACTATTTTGTATTTCCAGTTTTGATGTTGTTTGCTGCTTGGCCATATCTGAGTGCCCCAAAATGAAGAGGGGAAAAAAAAGCAGATGTACATGATGTTTAGGATTGTCTAGGTGAAGGAAGATTTAGGCATTGCTATATTCTGTAACAGGATTAAATATTAAATTCAAATTACAAGTGTGGAAATGCTTTGGAATGTAGTTTGTTCAATGAGTTGGACCAGATAGAATTTGGATTGTGACTTCATCATGAATGTCGCCCTGTGAGAAGGGGGAACTGATTTTGTGATGACTAAAAATTATTGACAAAAATTGGAGTTAGTGGACTGTAAGTGGATTACATTTGGATTAGATATTGGTTGATTTGAGTTTTGGGGGCATCCGGGATCTTCAACTTGTTATGTCTAATTCATTCCACCTGTGTCTAACTCATTGCGAATGTGACCAAATTCCAAAGCCTTTGCATGGCAGTAGGCAAAATGGAGTTTAAGATGTCAACGTGAGTTGAATGGATCAAAGTTATTCTTGATATCAGGCTTTTGTATTAAGGTCAATAGTTAAAGCAAGTGATCAAAATTGAGTAATAATGTCTATTTATAAAAAAAAAATTGAGTAATAATGTCTTCTCATTTTTCCTTTTTGGGCATTGCTATTCAAACCAAAAAATTGCTCACTTTTCAAACCCAATGATATGGTAATCAATTAGAATATCTAAGGCAACTCTCTCTCTCATACCATTGAGTCTAGAAAGTGGGCTTGTATATCATTTTCCTTTTCGATGTGATGTGTTTTATTTTTTTTCTTGAACTTCAAATAATGCTACAAAATTTTAAAATGGTGGAGGACAGTATTTTAACCCCAATGTTTATGGTAGTTTGATGTATGGAGTCATTGCTTAGTCTAGTGGTCAAGGCTGAGGCTTCCATGTTCTAAGCATTAGAAAATGGGTTTATACATGAGATAACATCCTTATGCAAATAATATCAAAAGGTTTGTACCTAGGCCACCCCTGTTTAATATGGACCAGCACTAGGGAGTGGCATATTCATTTGGTAGCTTTAAGAAGGTCTGGAGCATAAAATTTGCATGTAACTCAGTCCATGATGGAACTAGAGCTAATTCCAATTGATTAAAATTTAGTGTATAGATAATGAGCATATTGGTATTCTAGAGCTAGTTCTACTCTGGACGTGAAATTGGTTATGAAAGTCAACCATGCTTCTGGGAGTCCAAGCTCTTATGGAGCCGGTTGAGTTTACTTAATATTTTATTTTCTGGGCACAATTAGTACTCTAGAGGGATATTATATTTTTTGGACTTCACAAACTTGTTTTACAATTTTATTCTCCAAACTTACAGGAGTCATAGCAATTTTATGACTTTGGTACCATGCATTTGATTTTGATGGTGTTTCAACTTGTACTCTTGTTAGATTATGAATATTCACTGTGGGGTCTGCCAGAAGATAGCATTGAGAGATCAAAAGTTAAACATGAAGTCCACAACAGGAGTGCCCGTAAACTTGAAGAACTATGCTTTAAAAATGGGGGCATATATATTAAGCTTGGTCAGCATATTGGTCAGCTGGTATGCTTTTATTGCACTTTCTTTGTCATCCCAGAAGGAAATTGGAACACTTCCTCTCTTTTTTGAAGTTGTTTGGAGTTTCTTTTGTCAGATAAGTACTTGCGTTTAGAATGAAATACTTGTTCTTTTTGTGATTATTGAATTTCATTTTTATCATGTATAGGAATACTTAGTACCTCAAGAGTATGTCCTGAGAATGAGGGAGTCTTTGTTGAATAGATGTCCAGTTTCTTCGTATGATCAAGTGTGTGAAGTGGTTAAGACAGAACTTGGTGGAATGCCAGATGAAGTATGTATTATTTTTCTCATTTTTTTGTTGACTATTTGAAATTTTTGGATGGGCTTCTTATCTTTTGCCTTTGTTTTGGTTTATTTTATTCACTTGATCTATCAAACAACTAAGTAAGCCTTCTCATGTCTAGATTTTTTCCGAGTTTGATCCTGTCCCAATTGCAAGTGCTTCCCTTGCACAAGTTCACGTTGGTCGCACCCACGATGGGCAAAAAGTTGCTGTGAAGGTTAGAACTTTTGCATAATCATCCAATTAAGTACTTTTCTATGATAGATCAGTTTGTCTTTATGCAAATATATGGAGATAACTAGTATATTGATGTTTATAATGAAGTTTTGATTCTTTTTCCATGTACTTATTCAAATCTAGGTTCAACACGCTCACATGACGGATACTGCGTCCGCAGATTATGCCACCGTGGAGTTAATTGTTAACACCTTGCATCGATTTTTTCCTACTTTTGATTACAGGTTTGCAGATGGTTTCTCTTAAGTTTTTAATTTTTCCAACATTATAGATTAGAAGATAGCTTGTGGTCAAGATAAATCATTAGCATTTTAACACAGCATAGATGCATGTTATAGTTTGTATATACCAACATGCGTGGGCACATTACACACTATATACACATGTAATTTTTTTCTTTTGGTGTGCATATGCACAAGTAATATTTTTTATGATAAATAACAGATTATATTAAATGGGTGCAGCCTGTATACAAAAGAAAAGCCCTACTATACATCAAAAACCTATTCAAAGGCCTCTAAAAAATTCAATAACTGGTTTAGTGAAGGAGAAATCAAACCACTCCTAAAAACCAATTATATAACAAGGATAAAAATATACTTTTTAATCTAATGTAGGCCCTTCTATACCAACAAAAGTTCTTCTATTCCTTTCTCCCACTCACTCACATACAAAACTACTCCTAAAGAGATGTGTCTATAAATGTGCAAATTTTAGGTTTCAAACAGTTCCATTAATTTGAATTTTATTTATGTTTTAATGCAGGTGGTTGGTCGATGAAGTACACGAAAGTTTACCTCAGGCTAGTTGCTACACACTCAAGTTTTGCCGTTTTCATTCATTATTTCTCATTTACTCTTGGTGGTAACCATGTAATACAACATCATATTACTTGCCTTCTATATGTGGATGGATGTATTGGGAATTCATATGCCAGGCTTTTCCCGTTTGTGCTTTTGAACTTCCATTATACATCAGAGTTAATATCCGAAGTCTAACTCTGCACTTCTGAAAACATCTATGGATTTCCACAAATATACTCCAAATGGACCAATCTGCTTGTGACCATAATTATGTTTATTTAAACTGTGACCTTGTTTGCAGTCATTGCCCAGGATTAGGAACCTTGAAGGCAGCATATTTAGCTTCTTTCTTTTTACTTCTTAATTTAATTTCAGCAAAGGCACTCAAGAAAACTGATTAAAGATCTTGTGCTGTATATATGCTTATAATTAATTGTTATTTTCAGTAGTGAGAACTTGTAAGTTGGCTGTATTCAATTTTCTCAAATGTCAGTATTAAGCAGCTAAAACTGTGTTGTGTTTTGAGCAGCTAAAACTGTTCATAGCTTGACTACCAGATAAAGAGAGCCGTTGTAATATACGATTACAAACTTTGCTAGGTATGGTAAATATGTAAAACATATGAAGCCATTTTGGTAAAAAAAATCATGGCATGCTGCTTGGAGGGCTTTCAAGCTTAAAAATCTTGTTTATAAAATTTGGGTTGCCTACTCATAATCCCTCAATGTATACCTGGTGACATTCAGTTATTTGTGATTGAAATTTTTGCTGAATATACCTATTTTGCACGGTTGAACGTGGTTTTTGACTAGTTGTAAACCTGATGATGCAATTCAGTGCACTGGTATTATTTTCAACATGCATTGATGCAGGAAGCTTTGCTGAATGTCTAATATAATCTTGATAAATTATAGTTGTGGTTATCAGGAACTAGATTTTTTGATTGAGGCCAAGAACAGCGTAAAATGTATGGATAACTTTCGGAAGTTATCTCCTCATATTGCAGACTATGTCTACGCCCCAAGGGTCTATTGGAACTTTAGCACCTCAAAATTGTTGACCATGGAATTTATGGATTGTGCTCAAGTAAATGATGTGAAGGAAATTCGAAGACTTGGAATTCAGCCGCACGATGTAACAAAACTTGTAAGTTCACGAGCTTCATAATTTAGGTGGTAACATCTTTGGGAATTGTCATGGAAAGCACCCGAGTCATCCACTTCGGGTTTTCAGAGATTTCTAGGTGGAAATTTAACTATTTTAGGTCATTTAAATTAAGTTGTTATCCATATTAGAGGACATTTCATATGATTTATAACAACCTTTTAAGACCATTCCATCAGGTCAGTTATTTACCTTGAATCTTTTTAGAAGTTTGTCAGGATGTAGTTCTCAAACTAGCAGTTCCTTGACTTTTATGCTTTTGACTACATATTCCATGTATTGAGGTCATTCTATTGGAACTGCATTAGGTATTTGGGTTTCTCGTGAAAATTTAGTGTCATTTGTTATTAAATGATTAAAAAAGGAGGTTGATTTTACCTTTTTTGTAGGTTAGTCAAGTTTTTGCTGAAATGATGTTCAAACATGGGTTTGTTCATTGTGATCCACATGCTGCCAACTTGCTGGTTCGTCCACTGCCTCAAGGCAAGAGGAGCATTCTTGGTGAGGCATTTGTTCATATTGATATAAGCAACCGGGGTATCCATTTTATATGTGCATCTCATTGATCAGTTATATTGCAAAAATAGAAATTCTTTCCATGATTACATAACCGTCCATGCCATTGCTCAACGAGAGACAAAATAATGTTGTTTCATATTTGTTCTCGAATATGTTATCATTTAAAAGCCTAGAATAGGACTAATATAATTTTTACATTATGAGAAATTGTTTTAAAATGCTCTGAAGTTATGATTAAAATGTAATCAATTAAATTTTCAGTTTTAGATGAGAGAAAAAGTATTAATTAGGCACTAGTGGTGACAATGTGGGAGCCTCCAGGATATATTGATGCAGCCAATAGCCTAAAGCTTTTTAGCAGGGAGAGGAAAGATTTTGAGCTGTGGTTCTTCCTAAATATTTGTGCAGTCTACAAATGACATATGTTTGGGTTGCCATGCCTCACACAGTGCTTGGGACAGGGATGACACACTATAGATTGGAGTTGGCTCTGGGGCCAATTCCAAATGCCAAGTTTTGGGGGGGACATGTTTTATGTGTCTTGTATTGGCATATTTTTTTGTGTAATATTTATTTATATATGTCTTATTATTGCATAGTTACTAATTTCAAATATGGGCTATTTTCATGACCGAAAATAAGCAGGAACTCAAGTTGAAGAATATATACGGACAGTAGCCCTTTGTACAAAAAGGGGTAAATTTGAATTTGCATAAGTACAAGGTCTAGAATTAATACCCATAATTTTGAGTACATCATTTATGAGTTAGATTATTCTTGAATTAATACCAAATCAATTTGGTCCTTTAAAGTTCTTCCAATGTTACATGAACTTAGGTTCATTCGTTGAGTTTATTTATGTCACCAAGTTTTAGATTTATGTAATTGTAGAGTAGGACTAAAATTGTGTAAATTTTTTTTGCTATTTTACATGAGAAGATACAAGTACACGTAAACTTGAATAACCAGTCATGTTTGCTTGATGCATGCCAATATAGTGGAGTGATCCCTACCATGTTTCTATTGTTAATGGCATCCATGAATTTATTATTTATTTTTTTCACATGTAAGAAACATGATAAAGCATTTTTTGGTTCATCTGGCTATAATATCCCATCCAATTGATATAGTTAAGATATGTGAAATTAGGGTTCGGACTGGCTAGGTTTTGTCAAACTCAGATTTGCTTTGGGGCTATCTTTATGGATAGGACTTGTGTCCCATTTGAACGCATTGCATTTTCATGATGCAACCTAAGGTTTTCTCTATGCTGTTGAGGTGTTTCTGGGGAACTAAAATGTTTGCAAATGAAAAGGTCTGAATATAATTCAACAATCAGTAGTTAACATAACAGCATTAGGCCAACAGTTTTAACCAATAAAGCATTGGAAAGATAGGCAGAAAAGTGTCCTGACATCCAGAAATATCAATATCAAGTCTTTAAATTTCATTGGTAAGCATGAATAATATAACATTCTGCAATTAGTAACTGGGTCTTGAAAAGAGAGAAAATACCACAAAGTAATGCAATGTCAAGTTAAATGCATGGAAAATTAGGTTTCCTCTATAAGAGCTACGCATAAGAGTTGAAAAGCAGTGATGGCCCACAAAATGAGGAAACATGGAATGCTTATCGACGAAATAGAGATAAATAAATAGTGAAAAAGTATAATGAATGAGTTAGAGGATGTTTATATGAAATAGAAAAAGGTTATGAATAAAATAACATGAAGGTAGGATGGAATAGAATAAGGGACCTGACCTTGTTGAAGGCACCTTGTATTCTCCCAAGTCTCTTTGATTCAAGGGGCAGCAAATGGTTGTGTAAGAATGTGCTAGCAAACTCAAAAGGTATCTGTTTGATTCAGGGCTAGAATTGCAATATTCACAACTCTAAAAAAGGGACGTACCCCCTTGTACAACTTAAAACAACCAATTAAGAAGGGGCAAAATCCTTGGAACCAGTAACTACAAGACAACTATCAAAATTTATTTTTACTGTGAGATTTGGGACCTTCACCTAAAATTTGCAGAGTTTCTAAGAAATGGGAGTTTTTAGTACACTCCTACTTGGATTTGTGTGGTGGTGGGGTCCCAATTGCACCTAGAGAGGTATTTGGAGAAGCTCGACTGTTTTTTTTCATCACTTGGACTGCAACTCTTGAGGCTTTTTTACCATAGACAACCTTAGGAAGAGAAGAATGATGGTGATTGAATGGTCTTGTATGTGTGTAATAAGGTAGTGGAAATTGTTAATCATCTCCTCTTACATTGTCTAGTGGCCAGAGAACTATGGGACTTCATTTGCTTAATGTTTGGTCTTGTATGGTTGATGCCATTATCATTGGGAAAACTTCTTGTGTGCTGGAGTTCATATTGTCCGACCACTTCGACTTGGTAGCATTTTATGGATTGTTTGGAGGGAAAGAAATCTGAGGATTTCTGATTTGAAGCTTTAAATAATCTTTTCTCATTTCTCTAAATTTTTTTGTTTTTGGTTGAAAAAGGATTGTCCTTTGTGCACAGATTATAGGTGATTTATACATGCTTGTAAAAAGCTTTTGGGCTTTGGTTTTTGAGTGTACAGAGTTTGCCCCTTCTATGTGCTTTTTGCTAATACATTTCGCTTATTTAAAAAATAAAGAAAAAAGAACTAACCAAAAATGAATTTCTGAGGACATTCCTATTGAAATGCATATTGATCCAAATACCTCATGCTTTGGTGATCAAAAAGAGTTGTAGTTTCATGATTATTTCTCATTCTTTTATAAGGAAACAATTTCAATGATTAGCCTGTGAATTAGCACATTTGTCAGAATGTGGGTTGATATTCATTCAAAGGTCTTTTGGGTCAAATATTATATGAAATACTTTTCTTATATTGAATGTACTGTAACCTCATTACAGGGTCCTGCCATCCATGTTTCCTTATTTGTGTCTTACATGTACTGTATTTGTCATTTTGCACAAGTGACTATGAATGGGTATTTCTCTCTGATGTCTCTGTATTTCTTTTCCATTTACAGGCAAGAGAAAACCGCAGTTGGTACTTCTAGACCATGGATTGTACAAGGAACTTGACTTCCCTACCAGAACCAACTATGCTGCGCTCTGGAAGGTGCATTATTGCTATTCCTTGAAAAGTTTGTATTCCATGCTAGGAATGTTTTATTGTCATTTTTTATGATGTAATGTTTTGATTTCTCTTACAGGCATTGATATTTTCTGATGCCTGTGGCATAAAGGAAAACTGTGTGAAATTGGGTGCTGGCGAGGATCTATATGCATTGTTTGCAGGTGTTCTTACAATGAGACCTTGGAATAGGGTCATTGATCCTGCTGTTGATCATCTGGCTCTACAAGGCGATGACAATGATCGTTCAGAACTCCAGGTGACTTATCTGAAGATCATAGAGCTTTGACAAAATTATGTGCAATTCTTTAAGGTAGTGTTTGGTTCAATAGAATGAAGGTGGATTGGAACCTCCTTATGGAATGACCATTTCAGTACAATGGTGAATGATAATTTCATTTGCAACACTCCCTCCGTCTCATTTTGATAGTCCTTTTTAAAATTTCTGACTTTTTTTAGGGAACATGTAATCATTGCATTTGAATTCAAATTTTAGTGCACTTCTTCCAATTATACCCTTCTCCTTTTCAATTTTTAATATATTTCTAGCCATTTAAAAAGGGTAATTTTGGAAACCTAAATATTTTTTATTTTGACTTTTCAAATAGGACTAACATTTTGGGACATCCTAAAATGGGAAAAAGGACTAACAACATGGGACAGAGGGAGTATATTTTTTAGTGAACCAAACGTGAGAATGGATATTCTGATGGAACGATCATTCCATTCCACTTCATTCCAATGAACCAAACATAGCGTGAGGGTGTATTTGGATATGTTCTTCAGGTAGAATGGTCCTTTTGCACTTTCTATGGCATGAAAGTGAAAACTCACCCCTGAAAATACGGACCATTAAAGAAAATAGGAACCTCATATTTTCTGGTATGTGGTTGCTTTTTGGCTTCTTTGAGATGACAAAATTCATATATTGTGACTATTGTTTGGCAGATGTATGCTTCTCAGTATTTCCTTCAAATCTCAGAGCTCCTAAGGAGACTTCCTCGTGTAATTATCCTAATGTTGAAGACAAATGACTGCTTACGTGCAGTTAATAATTCACTGGTATGACATGTTTTGACTTTTTGTTACCATATATCTTGTTAATACTTTGCATCATATTAATTGTTGCAATATACAAGGCTTGCGTCTGGTGAGTCAGCAGTTGATACTTGATGGTAATAAAACCTGACAAGTGTCTACTCATCTCAGTGAAGCCTAATATCGAACCATGGTCTGGTTGCATAATTTCTTCTGTTTTTTTTTTTATTTTTATTTTAAAACCCTTCTCTACTTTTCTTTTTTCTGGTTTTTCTTTACCAGTGCTAACTGGAGTCTTATTTAAATGTGAAATTGTAGTTTGTAAACACACCCGCATGCACACACACATATATATATTATTATTTTACCAAGGATTTTTCAGATCTAATTACTGGCAGTTCCTCTTCAGTGGGCCATTTACCAATCTGCATTTCATTGCTAATGTTATCTATGAAGCACGGACACAGACACGGATACGGATACGGATACGGACACGGACACGGACACGGACACGGACACGGTACACGGCAATTTTCAAAAAATGGGGACACGGACACGGCGGGGGACACGGCGAATTTTATTTTATTTATTTTTATGTGTTATGTAGATTCATATCACATTCATCCTAAATTAAAATTAACAAACACTAACATAATAACATTAATTGAATAAACATAACCATTACATTTAAACAAATTAATAGATCATCCATTCACAAAAAATTCACAAAAAAGTCATAATAAACGATAACAAGAACTAAGACGAGAAGGGGAAAACATTCAACATCCAACAATATTTTTCACAAAAGTACTAAATAAGAGGCAAAAGATTAAAAAAATAAAAAAAATTAAATTAAAAAAAATAAAAATAAAAATAGCCCTGCCGTGTCCCATGCCGTGTCCCCGCCGTGTCCCTGCCATGTCCCCTGCAAAAAAATCATTAAATTAAAGGGACACGCCATCTGGCGTGTCCCATACGTGTCCCCGGCGTGTCCCCGTGTCGGACACCGCCACGGCACTAATTTTGGAGTGTCCATGCTTCATAGAATGTTATTGTGTTAGAATGCCTTGTAGGGTATGGAATGTTGGGCTTGCCACCTTTGGAAACCTAGGATTTGAGGATTTGATTGTACATAATATTATTATAACTTTGAATTTAAAGTATTCGGAGTCTTCTAAACTTTGGCTGTATTTTGCTCATCCATTTTTGAAAGTTCTCATGTTTTTCCGAGTTTATTGATTGGAGGTTACCTTTCATTTTAGGATCTTTCACGAGCATTACTAATCAAAAAGGGGGAGGGGGAATATAAGTATTTTGCGTAAAATAGGCCCTCATGTGGGAGGACAACTTTGATATTTTGTGGCTACTAGCTAGTAAAATTTTGGATGAGTTTCAACTTTTTAATTTCTTTCTATACTTCTTGAATAGCTGAAGGGATCTTCTCTCGAGACGTTTTTGATCATTGGAAGAGTTTCTTCTGAGGCAGTCATCGAGACAAAGTTGTTACAAAACAAGTCTTCCTTATGGCGGATAAAACTTTGGTTGGAGGAATGGTTGTTAGAAGTGCGATTGTTTGGAATGCAAGTGGCCTTGTGGCTTTTACAACTCAGAAAAGCGTTGACCTTGTGAAGTAGTTATCACATAAGAGATATACTCATTTTTTTCAGGCAATACACTTAACATATTCAGGTATAGTGTTGCATTCTTTGTCTCAACTGCTCAGCTCTTCCCATCCGGACACGAATTTGAGCTTATTAGATTGAGAAACTGTTATTTTTCCCCCACCAAATAATAGGGTATAATTTTTCCCCCTTTACTGAGCAAATATATTCTTTACATTGGATACATTAAAACATCGTTATGTTCACCGGCGAGTGATATTATTTGGAAACCCCATCAATGGGTGGAGTAAACATGTTACGGAAAAAATTATTTATGGGGGTGTTGAAATGTAATAATAAAAAATTATTGAAGTTCTTTGTATTGTTTTATGAGCAATGCTCGATGTTTTTTCATGGTTTTATATTAGCGGATTCATATTTTCTCCCTCTCCGTTTCCTTAATTGATTATTTTTAAGGTAAATTACAAACACCCTTGAGGTTTGCTTAAAATATGAATTGTCCTTTATGATTTGAAAAATTATAAATATTTTCTTGTCAGAATTTTTTATTTAACAGAATTAATTGAAAAAGTGAAATTTCTAGCTATTTACTTATATAATAATAAAATCATCTGAATTAGTAATTGAAATAAAATTTTAACATTAGTAAAAAATGTTAATTAACTTGATGATTTATTAACAAAAGAACTTATTTGTTATAAAATTAAAAAACTTTAGGAGTATAATATAATTTTTAGAACTACAGAGAGTAATTTGTAATAAAAGTAAATTTTAAGGGGTGTGTTTGTAATTTATCTTTATTTTTATGATGACATAGACTGCTGGCATTTAGGTTTTTTGTTGTGTTTATACTTTAAGGCCCTGTTTGTTTCGTTGGATATAAAATGGAGGATATAATATGATGTGGGATTTAGTCAGGATATATAATGAATAGGATATAAATATTGGATAGTATATCCCCCAAGTCATGTTTGTTGACTTGATATATAAGATTGGATATATGTTATGCATGTTTGTTTTACAAAATATATTGTGGGATATAACAAGTAATTTCCAAGATTGCCCTCATAATATTATATTATATTAAATTAAATTAAATAATATTATATTATATTAAATTCAAAATTTATATTAAATTAAATTCAATAATATTACATTTTGATAGTCCTTTTTAAAATTTCTGACTTTTTTTAGGGAACATGTAATCATTGCATTTGAATTCAAATTTTAGTGCACTTCTTCCAATTATACCCTTCTCCTTTTCAATTTTTAATATATTTCTAGCCATTTAAAAAGGGTAATTTTGGAAACCTAAATATTTTTTATTTTGACTTTTCAAATAGGACTAACATTTTGGGACATCCTAAAATGGGAAAAAGGACTAACAACATGGGACAGAGGGAGTATATTTTTTAGTGAACCAAACGTGAGAATGGATATTCTGATGGAACGATCATTCCATTCCACTTCATTCCAATGAACCAAACATAGCGTGAGGGTGTATTTGGATATGTTCTTCAGGTAGAATGGTCCTTTTGCACTTTCTATGGCATGAAAGTGAAAACTCACCCCTGAAAATACAGACCATTAAAGAAAATAGGAACCTCATATTTTCTGGTATGTGGATACTTTTTGGCTTCTTTGAGATGACAAAATTCATATATTGTGACTATTGTTTGGCAGATGTATGCTTCTCAATATTTCCTTCAAATCTCAGAGCTCCTAAGGAGACTTCCTCGTGTAATTATCCTAATGTTGAAGACAAATGACTGCTTACGTGCAGTTAATAATTCACTGGTATGACATGTTTTGACTTTTTGTTACCATATATCTTGTTAATACTTTGCATCATATTAATTGTTGCAATATACAAGGCTTGCGTCTGGTGAGTCAGCAGTTGATACTTGATGGTAATAAAACCTGATAAGTGTCTACTCATCTCAGTGAAGCCTAATATCGAACCATGGTCTGGTTGCATAATTTCTTCTGTTTTTTTTTTTTTTTAATTTTAAAACCCTTCTCTACTTTTCTTTTTCCGGTTTTTCTTTACCAGTGCTAACTGGAGTCTAATTTAAATGTGAAATTGTAGTTTGTAAACACACCCGCATGCACACACACATATATATATTATTATTTTACCAAGGATTTTTCAGATCTAATTACTGGCAGTTCCTCTTCAGTGGGCCATTTACCAATCTGCATTTCATTGCTAATGTTATTGTGTTAGAATTCCTTGTAGGGTATGGAATGTTGGGCTTGCCACCTTTGGAAACCTAGGATTTGAGGATTTGATTGCACATAATATTATTATAACTTTGAATTTAAAGTGTTCGGAATCTTCTAAACTTTGGCTGTATTTTGCTCATCCATTTTTGAAAGTTCTCATGTTTTTCCGAGTTTATTGATTGGAGGTTACCTTTCATTTTAGGATCTTTCACGAGCATTACTAATCAAAAAGGGGGAGGGGGAATATAAGTATTTTGCGTAAAATAGGCCCTCATGTGGGAGGACAACTTTGATATTTTGTGGCTACTAGCTAGTAAAATTTTGGATGAGTTTCAACTTTTTAATTTCTTTCTATACTTCTTGAATAGCTGAAGGGATCTTCTCTCGAGACGTTTTTGATCATTGGAAGAGTTTCTTCTGAGGCAGTCATCGAGACAAAGTTGTTACAAAACAAGTCTTCCTTATGGCGGATAAAACTTTGGTTGGAGGAATGGTTGTTAGAAGTGCGATTGTTTGGAATGCAAGTGGCCTTGTGGCTTTTACAACTCAGAAAAGCGTTGACCTTGTGAAGTAGTTATCACATAAGAGATATACTCATTTTTTTCAGGCAATACACTTAACATATTCAGGTATAGTGTTGCATTCTTTGTCTCAACTGCTCAGCTCTTCCCATCCGGACACGAATTTGAGCTTATTAGATTGAGAAACTGTTATTTTTTCCCCACCAAATAATAGGGTATAATTTTTCCCCCTTTACTGAGCAAATATATTCTTTACATTGGATACATTAAAACATCGTTATGTTCACTGGCGAGTGATATTATTTGGAAACCCCATCATTGGGTGGAGTATACATGTTACGGAAAAAATTATTTATGGGGATGTTGAATGTAATAATAAAAAATTATTGAAGTTCTTTGTATTGTTTTATGAGCAATGCTAGATGTTTTTTCATGGTTTTATATTAGCGGATTCATATTTTCTCCCTATCCGGTTCCTTAATTGATTATTTTTAGGGTAAATTACAAATACTTCTGAAATTTACTTAAAATATGAATTGTCTCTTATGAATTAAAAAATTACAAATATTTTCTTGTCAGAATTTTTTATTTAACAGAATTAATTAAAAAAGTAAAATTTCTAACTATTTGCTTATATAATAATAAAATCATCTGAATTATTAATTGAAATAAAATTTTAACATTAGTAAAAATTGTTAATTAACTTGATGATTTATTAACAAAAGAACTTATTTGTTATGAAATTAAAAAATCTTAGGGACATAATATAATTTTTAGAACCACAAGGAATAATTTGTAATATAAGTAAACTTCAAGGGATGCGTTTGTAATTTATTCTTATTTTTATGATGACATAGACTGCTGGCATTTAGTTTTTTGTTGTGTTTATACTTTAATAGCCTTAGGTACAAAACATGGAGATTCTATGATGTAGGAACTAGGAACAAAATCAAGGTGTTTTTGGATATATTATGGAATGTAAATGCCTACATTGCCTTTTACATAGAATGTGGATGAAAATTTCCATTGCTGGAAGGATTAATTACACCCAGATCTCCTCAACTATTACCGAATACCACATTATTCTTTTCATCTATGAATTTATATATTTTGACCCATTCAATTAGAAATATATATCACTTCTATCTTTCCGGACCACTTTTAGTGAAGAGTGTTTGTATAATTTTTATAGTTATGAGTCAATATGTACACAGTTATAGATGAGGGGTTAAAGTCTTGATTCAATTAACCCATGGAAATGGGAGCCAAACCAATGGATGGTGTAATTTATAGGACAGTGGTATAAATTTAAGAAAAATGTTTGGGGGCCCTAATTTTGTGGCTCAAATGTGGCTCAAATGGCCAAAACGACGTCGTTTTGGCCATTTTGATGTTGTTTTGTACTCAAAAACGACGTCGTTTTGGCCATTTGAGCCACATTTGAGCCACAGAATTTGGGCCCTCTACCATTGCTCTAAATTTAATACTTCGCCATTGTTTATACTTGTGTGTGCATACCCATCTGGTTGAATCAGTAAACCTGGACTTGACTGTGTTGAAATCCTTTTCTTCTGTTTTCATTCTTTGGTTGGTGGAGAAAATGGTTGCACAAACAAGCTTTGATGTGATTGGGTGGATAAATTTTAGGCTGTGTTTGGTTGGAAATTTGGGGAGAAATTTGAAAAGAAAAAAGGAAAAGATGTGTGAAATTAGATAAAATGTAAATATATTTTAGAGGGTTGCTATTAAAACTTACCTAATTTATTTGGACCATGCACTTCTTTGAACCCCCACCCAACTAAATGAGTTCCCTCTATTTTTTCTTTGAATCCCCACCTTAATTTCAACTGTACCTCTTCTCTTTTGGACCTAAATTTTCTTCTTTCTTTCCTTTCGCCAGTAGCCCTCCCCGTTGACACCCTCCACCCACCGGCGCCACCACCTCACCGTTGCAACCCACGTCCTTTTCACATGCCATCTCATTTTTCTTCTTCTTCCTCTTACCAAATCCACCAGCGTTAGCCCCTTTCGTGAGTCCCCTTCTCTTCATGCAATCTTGATCTGAAAAAACTTAGATCTTTGGAAAACCCTAATTCTATCACTGCCCACCACCACCGTCAACTGCACCTTCGCCACTAGTTGTGACCCCAACATCACCTCTTCACAACTTTTTTGCGAAACCGTAGTCGCCAAACCCTAGCCACCATACCATGAAGGAGAGAGATCGAGCGTAAGAGAGAGAGAGGACCTCTCTTTCCATCTTCGACTATTTCGCCACCACTGCCTTAATGGTTGTTTGATGGTGCTGCGATGATAGCGGTGGGTTTAGATCTAGGGTTTTAGGAGAAGAGGATGATTAAGAGGGTAAACGGTGGTGTTGCAATGATGACTGTAGTTGGGGGTAACGGCGGTGTTGTGATGATGGCAGTGGTTGGACGGCCGATGTTGGGGGTGAAGCCGGAGGTGATGAAATTAGGATTAGGGTTTAGAAAATTAGAGTTAAGAGGGTTAGAGATGAGGGTATAAATGAAATTTTATCTTTGGATAAAATTAGAATTAAAAATATATGGAAGAGAGGAGATCTAAAAAAATAAAGTATGTACTAATAGCAGCTTTCATATTTTGTTCATATTTCATTACATTTTTCATATTCTTTTTTAAATTTCTTCTCCAATCCTCAACCAAACACAACCTTAAAATGTAAATGGGACTCAATTTATTAATATGATGGGAAATTTTTGTAACAGACACCCAAAAAAAAAAATATTTGTTTACAAATTTTCATTTGTTTTTCCCTCTGTCCCTCTAGGCACTGTGCCAGAGACCTCCAATCACAATCTCTTGCGGCCGAAAATCACCTCTAATTACCGACAATTACCACTCAGTCATTGACCAATGGCCACCTACCACCAGGCACATCCACCATTTTTTTCATATTATTCTGTAGTGTTGTGGAGCCTTTTTGGGGATACAGTGAAATTATTGATGGTAAAATTATATTTTCACAATTTTTCAAAAAAATTATTGTTTGTTTTTTTTTTTAAAAAATTTTTATGAAAAAGTTATTTCAAATAGACTTTTCAAACAGGGCCACCATAATTATTTGGCTTTTTTGTTTTTTGTTTTTTGGTGTGCCAAATTATTGATGGAATTAACAATGCTTAATTCATTCAGGTCAATTTTTGCAGATGATCATGCATTCATCTAATAGTAGAGATACAAGAATTTGTTTGGAGGATACAATATAGCATTTAAGACTGTAAACGAGCAAGCAAAAAGTTATTAAAATTTAATTTGAATATTTAATTTTAAAATTCTGTTTAAATTTGTTATTTGTCTTCCGATTCGATCTGCAATGAAGTCAAAATTGAGTAATTAAATTTTTTTCTTTTTGCAACTCTATAACACATAAATTTTATTGAACCCAACCCATAAAATTAAGAATTTCAGATTATATCTAAATAATTTTTTAACAAATCAAAGTTAAATCATTGCATAGGATATTCTGATTAGAGCAAACAAAGATATTTAGATAAGGACAATCTCGAGGGCTGTTATGATCCAACCGTTAGTACACTTCTTTTATTTATTTATGGGGTTATTACCTGATAGTGCTGTCAAGAAAAAAAAATATAAATTTATAAAAAGTTTACAAATTTAATTATTAATTTTTATAAAAATTTTCATTATTTTGTAATTATTTTTTTAATATCTCACTGATGTGATATTTTTTCTTTATTGACATGCGTGGTAGGGGTGTCCCCGGTTTAGATTTGGACGATTTACGAATCGGTTTGGACCCGTTCGCATATATGCGATTTGAAAAAAAAATCAACCTGCAACCGTTCGCAGTACGGTTTGCGGTTTGTGAATGTGCTGGTGGTTTGTGAATTGAATTTTTTTCTTCAAAAATTTATTTTTGAGCCCTTTTTTTCCCCATTTTATAAATATTTATTTTGAGCCATTTTCCCTCCATTTTCTAAAATGCTCCAACATTAATAATTAATTAATTAAAACTTATAAAATTAAAAACATAATAAAATCAATTCCTAACCCAAACAAATCATTTAAAATCCTAAATCAAATTATAAACTAACACAAACACATATTTGAAAATCTTAAACTAGATAATCAATCTCATTCACTATATATTACCCAACAATACAATTAAAGTAAAATTATTCAAAATCTTAAGTTTACCTAAAAGTAATTTTTCATTAACTTTTACATTTATCTAAAATGTAATAAAAAAATAAAAAAAAGAAGAACAAGTAATTCTTCATTAACTTTTACATTTATCCAAAATGCAATAAAAAAAGAAGAAGTAATTAGAATGAAAATTAAATAACAACTAAATGATAAATATAATATAAAAAAAGTAATTAACATATTCAATTTCCCCTCAATACAAAGATCAAACATATTATTGAAATTGAATGGAAATTGAATTTGTTATTGAAATTAGAATGGAAATTGAATCTGTTATTGAAATTAATAGATTCAATTTCCTCGCATCAATAACTAAATAAATTTTAATAATAGAAAACTCCCAAAAAATATTACAAAAAAACAAAAGCAATTACATATTCAATTTCAATAACATAACAGATTTAATAATAGATTCGATTTAATAACAGATTTAATTTAATAACAGATTCAATCACCCTTTTAAAAAAAATTTAATAATACATTCAATCACCCTCTAAAAAAATTTAAATAACAGATTCAATAACATATTCAATTATTTAACAGATTCAATCACCTCCTAAAAAAATTTCAATAACAGATTTAATTTCCACTTCTAACACAGATTCAATAACAAATTTAATTCCAATAACACAGATTTAATTCCAATAACACATATTTAATTCCAACTCTCAGATTTAACACATATTCAATCACAGATTCAATAACAAATTTAATTAAGTTCCAATATATTCAATAAACTCAGAGAATGAACATATTCAATTTCAACTTCAAATTCAATTTCCAAAATCTTAATCACCATTCGAAATAGAATCTTAGTCACCATTGAAACGGAATCTTAGTCACACAAATACAAATAAACAAATAAACTCAGAGATCTGTTACTACACATCTAATTGCATTAAAAAAAAGTTTGGAGACCGGAGAGAGAGAGAGAGAGAGAGAGATAGATAGACAGATCTGATTACCTAAAAAAAATCATAGATCGGAGAGAGAGAGACATAGAAACGCTTACCTAAGAGTTGTAGAACAAAGTCGATCTTGCAAGGGGTTAATCGGTCGCTTCGTCGGTCGACGCAGAGAGAGAGAGAGAGATAGAGAGAGAGAGAGATGGAAGAACGAGAGAGTGAGATTAGAAGAGAGGCTGCGCACAAAGAAAGACAGATCTGATTGCCTAAAAAAAATCAGAGATCGGGGAGAGTGGGAGACAGACAGATAGATAGACAG